TGCATTTGATTTATACGCAGATGACAGAAAAACGAACAATTACAGTTAAAAAGTTTTTGGTGGTTAATGTAATTTTTTACTTTCATAGTAACATGTTTCATCAAATCTCATTAGTTTGAAAGGAGTATCGCAGCAGGGCTGGGTAACTCCGGAGCTGAGAATTCTTTTGGTGTAATAGCAGAATAGTAGAATAGTAGAAAAGCAGAATAGGAGCACAGTAGAATAGCAGTTGTATGGGAATAGCAATATAGTAGGCTATTTTTAAAACATATTATTGCGCTGTACTGTAATCGGTGTGTATTGTATCTGTTGCTGCATCACAGCGACCTTACAGTTTTTATGTTATGATTGGTTTTTAGGAAACAAATGGCGAAATGATGGCTTTTTGTTGTATTGTGTAACTTATAAATTCGTTCTTTCTGTATACTTCTAGGCATGCGCTAACTTGAGGATACTGCTTGTTTCATATCTGCTTTTAAACTCTTAGACATGGTGGCATCCGCCGAATACTAAATAACGTTCATGACAACGAATCTGGACTTGAGGGTAGGGATAAAGAAGTCAGAGTGATATAAACAACTTGCAAATGGCAGCTAGCACGTGTACATGTTCTCTGCATCCACTAAGTATCAGACATAGAGCAGCTCGCCATACTACAGGGATGCAAAGTATGTTTTCCAGTTGATATTTTGCAAAATTTGCATTAGCTATGAGATAAATTCCAGAAATCCCCCATAGTCTCAAGAACAGTATACAGAGGAATTTCTGATCGACTCTCTGCCATCTTTCGTCATTGTTGGACGAAATTGTTCATCGGACAGAAATGAATTCTTTTCTTGAATTAATCAGGCGATGAACATCAACTCGCTTAGATATTCCGCCACTGAATCCGATGATGTTGTTCCGTTGATTGGCATCGTCTCTTCAGAATCAGACACCGATTTCTCATCGTTGGTTTCCACCTCAACAACACTTCTCTGCGTCTTTCTTCTGAACCAACCTATTCCTCGATTGATCAAACATCTCGACAGTCACCAACTGATCCACAATTATTCTGCCATGCCAACAGTGAATGAGCTTGGCCTCGACTAGAAACCATGACACCGCCTTCGTTAATTTTTCCATCATCTTCTATGAACCCCGTTCAATTCTCCGACGTTCACGAAAGCAAATCGATCGACAGAGATAGTGAAAGGTGGATGGAGACGCTCATATTTTCCGTCGTCTTACTTCATTTGTTTTCTAATCAGGAGCATCGAGAAACCTCTGATCATCTATCGACAAGCACTTGACATCGACGATGATTGATTCCCGACTTCAATCAGATCACTCGTTGGTTGCCTCGATCGCCGATGATGAGACTCTCGTTTTCTTTGTGGACGATCTCCTCTGTCCATTGATTCCGATGCTTTCATTTTCAATCAACCAACAGATCGGTGCTCGCGGCTACTTACACCGTTCAGCTCATGACTGATTTCGACATTAGTGTTCCACAGATTGTTCTCATGTTCCACTTCGGACATCATGTTGCGTTCATTTTCAAAAGAGTCATTTCAAATTTTTGAAATTGCAGAATTTCGCACATCAACCGTCAGTCCATTAATCTGTTCTTCGTTATTGTCGAAATCGATCTATTCTGTTCTTCATCTTCAAAATCGACTTGTGTCAAGACAAAGTCACATCGTGCACTCTTTCAGACATTTGGTAAAACAATCTATGAAGCTGAATGGATAAAGGATAATGATAGGCGGCCGCGAATTGTGTTACTGAAGATCGATGGTGCACGTGCTAAGAAGGAGGCGTCATTCTACGTTGATTTAACTCGTCATCCAAGCATTGTAAGAACGTTTGGTTTGGTACATAGTGGTGATAACGATGATGACGAAGATACACAAAACTCTGTGACTCTGCTTCAAGAACTTGCGCCAGAAGGAAGTTTGTACGAAGTGTTACAACAGATTGGTCTGAATGAAAACATTCTACAAGCTATGTTTTTACAAATTACGGACGCTATGGTCTTTCTAGCTCACAACGGAATCATTCACGGTGATTTAGCCTGTCGTAATGTTTTAGTCTTTCGATTAGACAAACAGGAACCACACAAGAACATTGTGAAACTAACAGATTTTGGAATTAGTCGTCATAGTAAACTCTATGCACCGACAAATAGTGTAGCCGGAACAACGATCAATATGGTTCCAACGCGATATGCAGCACCAGAAGTGTTAACAAATGAACAATATTCTGAAAAGTCAGATGTCTATTCAATGGGTGTGTTGATGTGGGAAGCGTACTTCAAAGGAAAGATACCGTGGTCACAGAGTATTTCTGATGATGAAGTGAAACGACAAGTGACAAAGGGCGAGAAATTACAGAAACCGAAAAATTGTTCGACTCAAATATGGTCTGTGATTGAAAGCTGTTTTATATTATGTGTAGAAGACAGACCAACATTTACGGCTTTAAAACACAGTCTTCTTCCAGCTCCATATCAACTGACGACACCGACGGTGCGTAAGATTTTTTCTAAAAAAGTCAATTTTTGCGTTCAAGGTAGTGTTCCAGCCATTCCGTGACGTGACATTACCGTGAATACAGAAAACGGCATTACCGCGAATTTTTCATAGTACACATTTGGGTATTTTTGGCAGTACGTGGTGGGCGGTGGGAGTGTAGCTAGTGTGAGAGTGAGTTCGAAAAGTATTTTCACACAGAATATATTCTTTTGATGTTGTATGAATTTTCCTGAGGTTTACAAATGCTTATGTGATTTCTAACTATACTGTAATCTTGAATTAATTTCCAGTTTATAGAAAATTGATCGAATTTCTATAAATAATTTCTGTATTCGCGGTAATGTCGCGGTATCAGCCATTCTATTCCTCCCCTCTTTTATATTTCTAACAGCAGATAGAAAATTATTCAGCTCACGCCAAATTTGAGTTGGCGTACTCAAGTGTATGCTTCATGCTAATTTTAGAACATTTTCGTCTGTAATCTGCTTCAGAAGCCAGTCTCGACTACTAGCTTACAACACGAGGTGAGTGGAAGACTACTTTCGAAAGACGGACTCGGAGCACTAGAATGAGCCATCAGCATTAAATCTTGATATATAGCAATACTTCTCCTAATGATGTCTTAACTTTTACTTTAGGAAATGGAGAACCAACGGTTGAAAAACAAAGATGGGTAAACATCGTTTGATTGCAGGTCTTTGCTATTTAACTGTGTTTATCTTATTGAAAACCTCTAGAGTTGTCAAACAACAGCAACAATCGTCCGAAGTACAAATACCATGTGAATTTTGTGAGAAGCTATGTGATTTGCCGCATCTACAGGCCCATCAGGTAAAAATAATTCACAATACTACTTACGACTGAAAACTGCTGTAAAGCATCCAATAACTACCTTGAGTAAAAGGACTTTTCTTTCGCACAGTTATCTAAGTGCCTCTAAGTCGAGCGTCAAATTCAATGATACTCGACAGCTTTTGCTTAACAAATACTTTTCCGTGCAGTGTTTTAAATCAGCTCCACACTGAGTTTCGCCCTAAACTATGCACAGACTTCTGAATTGGAATCACACAGTAAGAGCCACGTAACTTTCCAGTGAAGAAAAGTCGGCGTGGATCGTAACAGGAAACTCTCCTATACCCTACTATGTTCAGAAAAAAGATATCGAACAGAACTAAATCAAACTGCTATTTTCAGGACACCTCTCGAACAGTTGGAACAACTTCAATACAGAGTCGAAACAATAGTGATTCACTGCAAGCACATTGCAATACTCACGATACAACGACTCAAACTATGCCAGTTTCAAATAGTGAGTATACAGTGACTCGAATTATGCCAGTTTCAACTAATGCGTACACTAAAAACAATAGATATAGTAAGTTGCCCATAATTCAAAATTATAGCAGAAAATTGTTTTTGATTTTTTGGCATAGATGGATAGAGCTCATCGAGTTGCATATAAAAAGGCACATTTCAAAATTTTCAAAAATATTGTTGTTTTGGAGGATAAGGAAAAACTGGTCAAAAAATCTCGAAAATATAAGCCGTTTTTTATTTGACGATGCATTGAACGTTTGGATCTTTTTTGTTCCTTTTTTATATATAACACTGAGTCTAGAAACTCCTAGTTTTAAAACTAGGAGTTTCTAGACTCAGTGTTATATATAAAAACGGAAGAAAAAAGATTCAAACGTTCAGTGCATGGTCAAATAAAAAATCCTTGTCCTCCAAAACAACAATATATTCACAAAAAATCAAAAGCAATTTCCTGCTGTAATTCTGAATTGTGGACACCTTACGAAACTCTGAAAGTTTCGTACAGAAACACGAGACCTTTTTGGTTCCATAAGAACGAAGAGGTGTTGTGTGCACGAAGAGAAACCTTCCGAGGGTTTCGTAGAAAAATAGTTTCGTAAAATCGTCTTTTAAAGTTTTTGAAGATATGCTCGAAACCTTTACTTCCGATGAACTACTCTCGAAAAGAGCTCTATTTGAACTACTTCGAAGTTGATTCTGTTTCACTTCTGCTGCGCGCTGTTGTAAAGCTACTTCAGCAGGATAACAGAATAGGACTCTTACATTTCTCCTTTGGTTTGTTTCTCATGCCTCTCTCTCCGATTTCTTCTCTTTTTTCTGAAGCCTACTGATCTTTGAAGATCTGTTATGAAACTGGAGGAAACGCGGTCGAGGGTGAAGAATGCAAAGCTTAAATCCGTTCAGAACATTGTGAAGCTTTCAATCCCAAGCGTATTGAAATTAGGAGAGCTTCCACGAGAGAACCACCCTCAAAGCTTTTAATTTCGATTTAATCAAAAGGAGGTCTCATATTTTTTACCATAAACGTTTCAGACTAAGGTACATCGAATAGCAAAGTAAAATCGGAATTTGAAAATTTTGCAGAGGTGAGATTCCCTTGCACAAAGGTGGTCCTATCGTGGAGGCTTGCTTAAGTGTCAGAAGTTTCACAGAAATTAATATCGATAAAACTGAAGTTGAAAGTATCCAAATTTTAGTTTGTCAAATGATCTCAGATTTGAAAGGTTGGGGCGTATAAGACAGCAAATGCGCCCCTCAAAACTATCTTTATCGGAAACCTCAGATATCTTATACAGGATGAAAGAGCACGCCTAGTTGAGTAGTCAGTGTGACGGAACTCGCTATGTTAGTGTAATCATGGAAAGTTCTCGTGTTCGTGTTCATTAAGTGGTGTTGACTCGACGAGAACTCTTCATGATTACACTTAAAATAGCAAGTTCAGTCACATAGAATACTCAACTCAGCTTGCTCTTGATTTTTATACTATCCAAAACATCAGAAGGGTTCCTCCTTTCGATGAAATACTCGAGAATCATTCTATGTCGTCTCAGTGAAATGTTTTTGATTGGAAACAAGAAACTGCACAATCGATTGAGATTTCTTCTTTACTGAAATAAAATTTGCTGACAGTGAAGATTTCCTACAGCTCAACCGAACGCCGGTGGTGGTGTAAGTCTTTGAATCTTTCAGAAGAAAATCCCTTCTGTCCAACCTACGGTCGTTGTCACTATCGCCACAAACTGATCCACAAACATGTATCACTGAACTGCCCAAATCAGGTAGTTAGTTGATGCCCACCAATCAAATGTCTGAGAGCGCAACCCGTTAAGTAATAATCAACTATCAGAAAGACGTGAACAGGGCAGCGGTGGTGGCGAGGAAATAATACCATTTTCATGGATCGCTGAATGAAGTCAAAATCTTGCGACATGGCTCTCTTATCGGCCCTTTCAAGCAGGGCAGTCGCGAACGGGGCTGGGGGTTAATCCTCACCCCTCCCAATAATCGGAAATATTTCTTCGGTTGAAGGTGGAAAGAAGCAGGGTGATTCTATGGGTTCTCAACCATAAAAAGACGTATATTCGTGATAAGCTCGTTAATTTCTATTCAACCATACATGAAGAAACGAAAAATTAATTTTACTTTAATTTTACATTAGAGGCACCTTAAACTTTAAAATACGAATGAATTAATTGTATCAGCTGTGAGGAAATCCACTGCTAGTGAAAATAAATAGATCCAAGAAACAAGATTTCTTTGCTCTCTTCTTCAACTGTTCGTTCACTCACTCAACTTTCGTTCTCTGTAACTCTACATACAATCTTATCAGATTGCAACAGATACTTTCATTGATCTATTTCGAATTCTAACTCAGGATACCAACGAATTCGGAGGATGTCTACTGATTTGGTGGAGCGAGAAAAAGTATGACGAAGGAAAGACTGCCGACCAAGAAATATCGAAAAACTAAATGTCGACAATTGTTGTCGTTCAGATTCTCGCCCGTCAACATGCAAATATCTTATGGCATACAATAAAGCAAGCGACCTAGTCTAGTTGATATCACAAGGGTGGGGCGAGGGTGCGAGTGAGGGTATTCACTTTACCATCATCATCATCATCCTCACACTATTGAGTATACTCAAAATGCATAGGGAAAGTAAGAAAGAATGGCGGACAAAATCGAGGAAATGACAATATGTAACAAGGGTGAGGTGGAAACGAGGATAAAGTGAATACGTTGAACCCACCCCCTCACCCCCACCGTTGCTCTTAATTGAATCATACCTACATTTCCTCTCGATATGAAGAACTCATTATTCGAACATCATTAAAAAATCTTAGTAGGACTATAGATAAACCGACCATGATGAAGTCTATCAGCTCGGTTTCGTCGGAACACCCATAAAGAAGTTTTTTGCGCTGTTCAAAAACGTTTTGGGCCGAAAAGTGGTCTTATCGTCCCTCATCCTTTCGGAAATTAGCAACAGATCGAGGAGAAATTTCGAAAAGTGCCAAAAATGGAACAAAAATTTTCCGTAAATTCCAAAATTTCTGTAATTTCTTACATATAGATACAGGTGCGTCAAAAATTAACCGACCACCTGGAAAATTTCTCTTGTTTGAGTTATTGCTCATCAAGGAGAGCTACTATAAATATTTCGATCTCATTGCGAGATAGCCCTAAGCCATGTAATTAGATATTTAGATATTTACAGTTTGTGTAGGTTCACTTTTTCCAGGCTGGTTAGAGATTTAAATATTTGAGTGTTTGGAAAGAGCATTTACGAGTATATATCATTAGTGTGGACAAACTGTCTAAAGTCGTGTTAGCGAATCCCAATTTTTGAGCGTAAAATTGATAGAATTATTCCCATTTAACCATTGTTTTGCGAATTCGTAATTCAGTGCGAACTGTTGTGAACTAACAAAATTGATTACAAAGGAACCAAACAGGTGCCTCTTTTGTTCCTTCTGAGAATTCGTGAATTGGGACGAATTCGTAGGGAAGAAATTTCCAGCATCCATGAATTCGTAACTCTAATTGGTCTACTATCGGCGAATTTGTGAAATGATGTTTTAGGTCCAGAAGTATTCGTATACGAATTCTGCTTACGAATCCGTCGGATATGCTTTGGCATCTACGAATTCGTAAATTCGAAAAAGGAAACTTTTTTATACGGTTAGTAACAGATAGATTCATCTCTGTAGATACTTCTCACCTTAATTCGCCGTTATTTTTGCGAATTCATGGAATGCGAATTGATATTAAGGACAAGAAATTTTTCTATGAGGTTAAAAAAACAAAGAATGGTCTCTTCGCATCAAGTCATGTAATTCTTCGTTAGAATTTTTCGCTAAGTTAAAGATAGATAGAATCGCGATCCTGTCAAAAAATTTTAGCGTCAAGATTGTTAAATTTTCGTTACACGGGAAAAAGAGCAAGATTAGGTATGATCGCGGTAGCGATCTTGCGTTATGTTTCAAATTTCTTGTCAAAATCACGGCAAGATGGGACTGTATCCTTGCCGCGAAATGAAACGGGAATACTACTAGGGTTAGCTTTTAATTTTCTTGAGTTCCTATTTTATTAATAAACTAATAAGGCGCGCGTAATTTAAAGTTTGGATAGAATTTTTAAAATGTTTATACACATGTTCTGATTTGCCATGAGACGCTGAGCACGAATATTACTTTTTATTGTGAACGCTTCTTCACGGAGAAAAACGCGAAATACTGCGCATACGTTAAAAATCGAAAAACGCAAAAGAGAAGACTTTGTTTTGTATGGAAATAAGAATGGTTGCAACAGGGTTCTCATGTGAGTATTTCAAATGTATTTGTCACTTAAACTGTATTAAATCTCCTAACTCCCCCACTCCCCGCATTAGAAGACAATGGACCGTCTATTACTACCCATCAAACTGACGGCTATTTCTGCTAGGGAGAACATAAAATTTCTATGGAGCGGTGGTAATAATGTAATAATTTTGTCTTGATGGCTGGTGATTTACATGTATCTGTACGAAACAAAATAGAGAGGAATCTCTCTCCTTTTTGCGTCCATGTGCGGGGACAGTGAGGATGGCTGTGCGTATTTACACAACAAGCCAAACGTGTTTTGTCGAATGTTGAATACGAGAGGAAAGAAGCAGTGGTGAAATTTAACCTGCAATACCTGAATTAGCTGAAATGTTTGAGAAAACCTGAAAATCACCTTACTTTTGGACAAAAAACCTGAAATACCTGAAATTTTCAAAAAGCTTGATACTAAAGAGGATTTTCTTCGATTTCTACTGGAATCAGAAACAACTCTATTATAAATGTCTTTCTTAAATATGTCAACAGAAACCATATCATAATATACCTGCAGATCCTACGCTACATATGTCTAAAAATCCTACTAATACAAATATTAGTAAGATGCACAGAATCCAAACTTCAAGTGAAATTTATATTTTGACTTTTTATACACTATTCGATAGAAAATTTGAAGCTGATCACGGATATGTTCGTCTCGATTTTCGGGTGGAAAATCTCAAAAAACTCGAAAGGTGTCAAAAGCTCTAAAATCAAAAAGTTTCAAAAAATGAGCCGTAATTGTTCACCCGTTTAGTCTGAAGCTCTGAAACAAACTGTTTCGGATTCAGCGTGAAAAACTGAGTCTAGAAACGTAACTTTCAAAGCTCCAGACCGAGGAATGGGTTTTGGGCAGTGCCTGAAACCGGCACGTCTCAAAAGCGCCACACAAATTTTGCAAACCTAATAAAGATTTTTATAGAGGTGTTAGAACCGAAATTTTTATATGGCTAGATTCGTCAGATGCTCCTCTTCAAAACTATGTTTAGCTTTTCTCAAAATTCCCTTTCCTCGCTGAGAAAAGTCTACTTTACTCGGAAAAATCGAAATTCTGACCGTAATTTGCAACTTTGCCTACTAGAACTCAACTTTCATGCAATGAAAATATCATATTCAGAATTCATATCAGTTCTAGTAGAAAAGTAACGATTTTAGAAGCTATCATATTGTGACCCTATCAATGGGCTAATCTATGGAAAACTTAAAATTCAATGACTCCGGAATGGAATGAGTTGTAAAGGTGAAACTCTGGCAACCGAAACAAAACCTGCAATAGAACGAATGTGCTATTCACACCAACAAGAAGTATCAGCATGAGCTACTGACACCAACCGGCTTAGAGGTGGCAGGAATAAACACAGAATCAATTGCTCTAAATTACTTTTCGAGCTCGTCAACGTATGTTGGAAAGTGTCGATAGCCCTTACTACCATCTCTGAGGCCGGTGGTGCCAGTAGCCCTTCCTGACATTTCCTGTAAGTGTCAATAGCTTTTCTAGCAGTATCCAGCACAATCTGACACTACACTTTCAACAAACATCCCCACTTGCATGGAACATGCAAACTACGGGCCCAATCCCCCAACTTACCAGGCCTTGTCTCACGCAAACCAAGAAATAGCATTTCGTAACTCACTCTCATGCTCCCCTCAACCACCCCATGTGCACAAAAAGTGAACCTACACAAACTGTAAATATCTAAATATCTAAGCGGCCTCTAAATGTGAACCTGCACAAACTGCAAATGCAAAATCTTTTTTTTTGCATAGTAGAATGCAAAGCCAGTTTTTTTCTGCCTTTTAGAATGCAAAATGCACAAAAAAAATGAAATTTCAGGTTGCATTTTTGTAAAAGGAATATGCCACATGTGCATATTAGTCATTATATGAAAATACATCAGGGATTTTTCTTTGACTTAATGTGTAAGCTTCTTACGAGGAAAGGTCCCCAAGTGTGCAATCGCTTTTTGCTTGAATTTTAGTAAACAATAGGTAATCGACTGCGCTAAACCCAAATCTGACATCGATTTGTGCTGCTAGACCTCTAGAGACCGGATTTCTGGAAAACCATGTTTTCCGAAACTCTAAAAAATAACCAAAATCTTTCTTAATGAGGCATGCTTGTAGATCGCAAATTTCTGATTATAATGCGATATCTCCCAGCTCTACACGACCTTTCTTTGCAAAGTTATAGAATTTACACGAAAAGCCCTAAATGTTTATTGTCAGCTCAAAGCTACATAAATAAGGAAAAATTAATTTAGGGCTTTTCGTGTAAGTTCTATAACTTTACAAAGAAAGGTCGTGTAGAGCTGGGAGATATCGCATTTTAATCAGAAACTTGCGGTCTACAAGCATGCCTCATTAAGAAAGATTTTCGTTATTTTTTAGAGTTTCTGAAAACATGGTTTTCCAGAAATCCGGTCTCTGGAGGCCTAGCAGCACAAATCGATGTCAGATTTGGGTTTAGCGCAGTCGATTACCTATTGTCCACTAGAGTTCAAGCAAAAAGTGATTGGACACTTGAGGACCTTTCCTCGTATAATGACCTTTATATGACCTTTCCTCGTTAGTATAATGTAAAGCTAAAAGGTTTCTACGAGACCTTCCAAAGCTCCCCAGAGGTCTTAAAAGATTTTTGAATTAAAATCAATGCTCACGCCACCCTTCGGTCGGCGTTCGCACCCAGGAAAAATGAGAAATGTTGTCAACTCCTCTGATCCGACGAAAACAGCGCATAATGTAACATAAAGCTAAAACGTTTCGTGGACACATAGCAGACAACTATTCTGTAAAACCCTAAAGTCAAGGGAATAACTTCTTAAGGGAGAAGAATAAAAAAGGCTATCGTTACTTTCTCACTGAAATAGGACGAACCAATGACAAAAGGCGATAAGGTACTACTAAACTTAGTCCTAGAGTATCTTAAATCAGCATAACTGAGAAATGTTGTGAACTTCTGTGATTCTACAGAAAAACCGCACAATGTAATATAAAGCTAAAAAGTTTTCTAGACATCTTCTGAAGATCTGAAGGAGAACTGCAAGTATCTATATTCTGTAACTTTTATTATCCCTAGATGACTTTTTTAATGTTATCGAAATTGACTGCTTTCTGGCGACATCTTTCTCCCAACTACACAGAAAGTTGGCGGTAGCTAAAGCTAGCTAGGTAGCTACTTTTCTTTCGGCATCATTAAATATTATTTCAGTCAACTCTTTGAACTTTGAATACTTTTCCTCTCATATGAGAAATAACTTTCTATTTTTCTCTCTTGTGATTGGTTTATCCATAGAATATCTGACAGCCGTTTTGCCATATTTTGCGCATTGACACACACACAGACAACCATTTTATACTATTCTAGACTAAAGTCAAGGCAAAAATATAACAGAAAAGAGAACGGTTTCTCATTAGAATGCATGTAACTAAAGGAGAGAGCCCAGAACGGGCTTAGTAATTAGCTCAGAACCGGTAACTCATTTCTCCCTCTTCTCTTCGTCTTAACGATCCTGCTGTCATGTATGCATCCGAAAGTGGATCTCCCCAGACGTCGAGTTCTGGTCCCACAGTCAAACATTGACCATTGTATTTGCTTCGAACTAAACCATCTGCTGCATTCCATGTCCATGCTTGATTATCTTGTTTATTATATGAAAATGCATCGACACTGGATTCATCATAATCGGGGACATTTACACTAGGAAAATACAAGTTTTTTTTGTTTTAGATTTCTAGATAACAGATTGATTCGAATCTTACCGTTGTCCATTCATTAGATAGACAATGGTCTGTTCCGATATGACGGCTGTCCATTGTTGATTTTTACCTTGATGTTGAGCTTGCGAATCACCAATGTGGCATTCGTTGATGACAATACTTGCCACTTCGGTTGTACTACAACTCTCAATTGATAAACATCGCCCGTCGAATGCCGATCGAGTACTGTCCAGATCATTCCAACCACCAGGTCCTGCTTTATCGGCAAATTTGTTATTCTGCATAGAGAAAGATTTCTTTGTTAGACATTTAAGTTTTAAGTTTTTGAAGCTTTTGTAAATTTTGTAGTTTTCACTAAATTGATATTCTAGCAGATGAGACATTTCAAGAACAGAATTTCCGTATCGACAAACCGAAAGTAAAGATTTTAACTTTTTTCAAGCTATTTCTGTTCCTGGTTAATTATTAGCTCAAGTTCTTACGACTGGTATTTCATTAAAAGGAAATGGAATGTTTCTTGCTTGTACTAGACGACAGGATATATAAGAGAAAATACACAATTGAATAATCCAAATGTGATCATTTTACAAGATACTAATATAACACAGACAAGAAGATTAATTGAATATTCAAAAATAAAATATCCTCTTTGTTAAACATAAGATAATACATTTGTTTAATATCTAACGGATAAATAAAAAGAGTTTTACAACTAATTAACTTAAGACATAGATCTTCAGTCACATACTAGAATATCACTTTCATCAGAAGTTGAGTCATATTGCATGGGGCATTGGATACTGATGTATGTTGAATTTAAGCAGCTGAGTGGAATGAAAGAGTGTGATGACTTGCCTTCTAGAAAACAAAGAAGATGAATTAACTAAAAACTTTATAGATAGAAGTTCTAGATAGAAGTTCTTCTGACTTGTAATTTGTTAGGGAAATGAGAAGGATGGAAATGACTTTCGAACATAATAAACGTTTTTACGTGTGTCAATGCAAATACGAAATTTTCAGGATCTTAGATTAAATCTTGTAGATACATTGATACAAATTAGTTTTTAATGTAAAAAATAATAGTGAATTTTACTTTTACTGTAATTTTTTAAAATAAAAGAACCGAGATAATCATTCTTTTTAGTAAGAAAATTGATTATGATCATTATGAAATAAAAACTTATTAGGTTTGTTTCAATCATACATGAATAAGATATTACACTTTATGCGTCTTTTATCTCAGGCAGCTTTGGTATACATTTAATGTACTAGGTATAAAATAATATTTTTCTAGGAGGTTCCGCCATGATTTCAAATAGAGTAAACGGTAAATTTTATATCCAATGAAAGCTCGTCGAAAATGGAATTTATTAGTATTACATAGTAAGGGTTATGATAACTTTTCAATGTTGAATTTAGGAAATTTCTAGAATTTTATGTTCTATCGGTGTTGAAAAATTCCTTTCCAGGGTCAGTTCAAACTAGGTCTAATTGAAAATGATAATTATCACAAAGTAATATTTATTTTCTAATATTCGATTAATATAGTCAATAATCAGTATGACGACCATGAGCGTTCTTTACCGCACGTAGACGAGATGAATACGAACATAAAAGAGTTTCAAATAATGCAATATCTGTTTTCATATTTGTCAAAACATCTGAAATATTTTTTTCAGAGTTTCTCTGTGATAACAATTATGTTCCGTCTCTTATAGCACGCTTTTTGGCTTCATTTTTGATTATTGTTCCAATATGTCCAGACTAGGTGTCTATTACTTTGTGATAATCATCATTTTCAGTTAAATCTAGTTTGAACTGACCCTGGAAAGGAATTTTTCAACACCGATAGAACATAAAATTCTAGAAATTTCCTGAATTCAACATCGAAAAGTTTTCATAACTCTTACTATTTAATACTGATAAATCCCATTTTCGACGAGCTTTTATTGGATATAAAATTTACCGTTTACTCTATTTGAAATCATGGCGTACTCCCTGGAAAATATTATTTTAAAACTAATACACTGAATTTTGTCTTTGATTCAATTGGGATATTTGTTTAACAAGATCTTTTTCAAATGATAATATATATTTCGGAGCAAAAGAAAATATTTTCTTCATAGACGTCAGTAATATGCTATGGATATGACTGGATGAATATGAAAAACGATCCAATTAAATTAAATTACTTAGGGCAATCCAAAAGTAGTGAGGGAGGTACTTTATTTTCTTAAGAAGCGCTTCAAAAACATTTCTCTTTTAATGAACAGATAGAGCGTCTTTCGCTCTATTTTTCTATGCTATTTGATC